GTTTCTTCAGCCCAGAAAATCTGTCTTTTGGCTAGAATTCCGTGGCTTTGTTCCATTTGGAGGCAACTGACAAAAACGGGCAATTTAGCGGTTTGTGTTAAAATTCTCGGATTTGTAATTCCCATTTTAATAAGATACTTATTGAAGGTGCATCCAGGCTATGGCTTTCTCTCTGAAAATACCGACTTTGCGGCAAAGTTGGAAGCAGCCGGTGCAGTTTTTATTGGACCGAATAGTAAAGCAATTTTAGCAATGGGTGATAAAATCCATTCGAAGCGAATTGCCACCGAAGCTAAAGTAAACATGATTCCCGGCTATGATGGTGAAATCAATGTGAGTTTGCTTTGTTTTCTCAGTAATTGTAATTTCAGTTGCCTTGCGCAAGAATACAGGTTTTTTTTAAAGGCCTTGAAATGCAATCGATATATAATCTTATCGCTTCATTTATGTCACGAGTGGTAACTTTTCGGGAAAAGTACAAAAACCCATTTTTACTGATATATAGGACGAGAATGAGTGCGTAAAAGTAGCAAACGAGATTGGCTATCCGGTAATGATCAAGGCATCGGCTGGAGGCGGAGGCAAAGGCATGCGCATTGCGTGGAATGATAAGGAAGCTCGTGATGGCTACCGCCTTTCAAAGCAGGAAGCCAAATCATCATTCGGCGATGATCGCATGCTTGTCGAAAAGTTCATCGATAATCCACGACATATTGAAATGCAGGTTAGATCATCTCACTCAAACTCTGTTAAATGAAAAATCTTCGTTGATTACCCATTCAGTTAACGGACTGTTTGAAGAGGGTCCTGTCAACAGTGCAAGTAGCTTTTGCAGAGTTTCGCATTCATGAGTTTGTATTTTTACGCAGGTGCTTTGCGATAAACACAAGAATGCAATTTGGCTGAACGAGCGCGAATGTTCCATTCAGAGGCGTAATCAGAAGGTGATCGAAGAAGCACCGTCGTCTTTTGTCGATCCAGAAATGCGGCAAAAAATGGGAGCGCAGGGTAAAAATTTAACGCTCTTATATAACTGTCCCGCCGCTCTCCACGCTTCTGGTCTTTTCTGAATTTGGCACCAGTGATGTATTTTAACTCAACACATGGCAAGTTGCGAAGAAAAAAAGAACTGATTTTATCACTATTGACACACGGAACGCA